GGGGGACGTTGACGGATGACCTCACCTTGTTTTTGGGCTTGGGGCCCCTCTTCTTGTGAGGTTTTGGGGTCAGCTGAGGTTCAGGAGTCGGACTCTGCCCGTTTACCGCCGCCTCCGCCGCCGCCTTCAGCAGAGCGATGGTCTGAGACTTGGGGCGCCGACCTCGGACCCCCTTGCGGACGGGGAGGGGAGGCAGGGGATTGGGCAGGCGGTACGAGGTCTGCATGGAGGAGGAGGAGGACGACGAAGAGGAGGTGAAGGAGGGACGACGAGCCACCGAGGTGGAGGAGACCGGGGCGAGGAGCGCACCAGGAAGTGTGACTGAGAAAACAGGAAGTTCTTTAAATTGATTTAGATCTGAGAACAGAAGCTTCACACAGATTTATTCTAAAATAAGATTTTATTTTGAAAAGATCCTTCTTTTCAACACACATCTGAAAAAATCCAACACAAACAGAAAAAATTTACTTATTTTGAAGGAGAGAAGAAATCCTGTTCCTTCAAAATAAAACGTTAATTTAATTGAAAAAAGAAGTTTGACCAAAACAAATAAAATTAAAATTAAACAAATTAAATAAAACAGAAATCAGAAATCAGCTCATATCCCGATCTGTAGCTAAAGTTTAGCTCATATCTGTAAAACTAAGAAACTTAAAGCTGTTTTAATGTTTTTCTACTCCTGACTAGTTGTGGCGGCCATCTTGAATTGGGCTGACTCCAGCTGTAGCCGTTCATCCAATGGTTCAAGAGATATTTTGCTGACATACACGACTCTAGAAACTCTTTAATCTTTAAAAGGAAGTTTGTTTTTCTTAGCGGAGCGACTTTGTTATCGTTCACAGTTCAAAACTGAAGCCAAACCACTCAAACATGTAGTTTTAGAGACAGTTTACTCACTAATTAGCCCCTCCCACATAAGCCCCTCCCATATCTCTAACAAGTTATCAATCACAGCGTAACCTGACACTGTTTTTTAAACCTCAAAAACTCCCTGTCAACAAAATCAAGTCTTAAACAAAATAATGTGAAGCATGTTTTCGGTTTGTTTACAGGATGTGGGCGGAGCTTAAAGTCTGTACTGGAGTCAGCCACTAGKGGGCGTGCATATTTACTTCTTCCATAGGCTGTGTCCAAAACGACAGGCCGGGTCCTCCGGAGGACCCAGACTCCCCGGTCTCGGCGGGCCGNTACACTGACATCATCTAATGACAGGAAGTGACTGTTTTAGTTTGGTCAACTCATGAAAATAATGTTCAACAAATGTCAGAGTCACAACGTGTGTTGTGAATGACTCCCAGGTACACAAATATCTCAGCAACAACCTGACGTAAACATGTCTTTGTGTTACTAATACATGTGTTTGTGTTACCAATACATGTGTTTGTGTTACCTATACATGTGTTTGTGTTACCTATACATGTGTTTGTGTTACCTATACATGTGTTTGTGTTACTTATACATGTGTTTGTGTTACTTATACATGTGTTTGTGTTACTTATACATGTGTTTGTGTTACTAATACATGTGTTTGTGTTACTTATACATGTGTTTGTGTTACTAATACATGTGTTTGTGTTACTAATACATGTGTTTGTGTTACTAATACATGTGATTGTGTTACTAATACATGTGATTGTGTTACTAATACATGTGTTTGTGTTACTTATACATGTGTTTGTGTTACTAATACATGTGTTTGTGTTACTAATACATGTGTTTTTGTTACTAATACATGTGTTTGTGTTACTAATACATGTGTTTGTGTTACTAATACATGTGTTTGTGTCAACCTGTTCATTAGCTGTAACTGTGTAAAACATCCACCCAGAGCTTCATGACATATTTTACTAACAGACAAACAGGGTTGATCTCTACATGATGGAGTTTTCAGCAAAACGTCACACAATGAGCAGCAGTGTTGTTATATTTTACTAACAGAGCTGACTTCAAAGACTAAAATGTTAATTTGTAAAGAAAACTGTTGAATGTGTTAGATTGTGTTGTGAAACACTGACAGACCAAATGTTACGTCAGCGTCTATAAATATGACCAACTAAACAACAGTTACATTAGAATAGAATAGAATAGAATAGAATAGAACAGAATAGAACAGAACAGAACAGAATAGAATAGCCTTTATTGTCCCGCTGAAGGGAAATTTGTGTTTTTAAATTCTATTAGCTGTGGCGGCCATCTTTATTCACTTTGACTCTGAGATGCACATCCAGAGTGTGGTGCTGTTTGTAAAGTTACAGTCAAAAATTACCACCAATATTTTGTTTTATTTAACAT